AGAGAGAGAGAGAGAGAGAGAGAGAGAGAGAGAGAGATATGAGGTCTTGCTAAATTGTCCAGGCTGGACTTAAACTTGAGATCTCCTGCCTCAGCCTCCTGAGTTGTTGGGGTCATAATCATGTGCCAGCGCACCTGGCTGGAATGTTATTATTGCTCAATAAAGTTTCAATTATGTGAGATGAATAAGCTAAAGATCTGTATGACACAGTGCCTACAGTTAACAATACTGTATTGTGCACTTAAAATTTTAAGAAGTGCTAGGGCTGGGATTGTAGCTCAGTGGTGGAGCACTTGCCTTGTACATATGAGGCACTGGGTTGGATCCTCAGCACCACATAAAAATAAATAAATAAAATAAAGGTAAAAAAATTAAGAAGTTCTCATGTAAAGCATTCTAACAACCCCTCCTCCCCCCCCAAAAAAAAGAGGTGTAAGGAAACTTTTATAGGTGACAGATATGTGAGTCACCTAGATTGTGGTGATTTCCCAGTATATGTACATGTCCAACTCATCAAATATTGGCAAGAATGTGGAAAAGTTGGCTCACTCATATGTTACTAATGGGAGTATAAAATGGTATAGCGATTTTGGAAAACAGGTTGGCAGTCTCTTTAAAAAAACAACGTATTCAACTACAATACAATCTAGCAAATTGAATGTTTGGGCATTTATCCCCAAAATGGAAAATATATGTTCATTCAAGTACAAAATTTGTGTTTGAATGTTGATGGCAACTTTATTTGAGTAGTGCAAACTAAGTCCCCATATGACCTTAGATGGGTGAATGGTTAAACAAGCTGTGGTACATTCATATCATGGAGAATTACTCAATAATAAAAAAGAAATGAAATATTGATACATGCAATAACCTGGATGAATTTTCAGAGATTATGCCTAGAGGGGAAAAATCCAAAATGTTACATGTAGAATGACTTAATTTTTTTTAACAATCTTGAAATAACAAAACTTTGGAAATGCAAACAGATACAGTAAGTAGTTTCTAGAAGTGACGGATGGAGAGAGGTGAAGATGGAAAGTAGGGTGGATACAAAAGGGCACTGGGGGGATTCTTAATGGAATGACCATACATCTGATGGAAATGATAAAATTTGTGAGCACTCTGGAAAATAATCTGGCATTCTCTAACAAAACTTTAGTAAGGATACCCTATAGTCCAGCAATTCCACCCTCAGGTATATATACCCATATAATTTTGCACTTATATGTCAAGAGATGTACATAAAAATGTTTTTAGCAGCATTATTTGTATATTCCAAACTGGAAACACCCCAAATGTCTAGAGTACTAGAAGGCACAAATACATTGCAACTAAATCTCGACATGTTCGTATACATGAATATTAAGTATCGGTGAATGAAGGAATTACAATTGTATGTGACAAAAGTGAATGGCTTCCATAAACATGACCAAATGTTATAGCCAGACAAATAGAATTTTAGAACATTCAAAAGCAAGCAAAACTAAACCACAGTGTTTAGAAGTGCATTTAAAATTGATAAAATTCTAAAGATGCATGAGGAAATAATCACCATAGTCAGGATAGCAATTACTTTGAGAAGGACTTCAGAAAGGGAACAAGTTGTGGAGAGGGGGTTCTGGGGGAATGGCATTAATTTGGGTGGTAATGACCCAGGTGTTTGGTTTTTGATGATTTGTTAGGCTGTACATTTATGTTGTGCCTTCACTTTTCTGTAATAGTTTATAACAAAATCACATGCCCTTAATTTCATTGTTTTCCTTTAAGATGAGATGAGAGAAATGTAGGTGTGAAATTCAACTATGCCAAGAAAAGGCAGCACGTGAAAAATCTGAGCTCAATAATTAAAACCTGTGAAAAAAAGAGAACGTGGAGTGTTGAAGCAGCAGGCCGACCTGCTGGAATGACGGTGGGCAGCTTGCCCTGGATGTGTTTTGTTTCCGTTTTTAAGTAATGAGCTAGGAATAATGAAGTTTGCTGGGGTGCTACATTTCTTACCCCACTTCTTTAGGAGTTGGACATGGGCTTAGGGCCCATGGCTTTTCATTGTTTCAGAGATTTGTTTTCATATTGATACCACCATCACCTATGACTTGAATCCCCTGGACCATCCTGGGTACGAAGAGGAAAACATCTGAGGCAGCTCAGATTTAAGTGACTTAAGTGTCCCCATCTCTCCCTGTCTTCAGTCCAACCGACACTGGACCCAGCAGGCTCAGGAGAAAAAAAAAGAGACAACAGGTAGAAGTTCCAGATTGAGATGCTTTGAAGTGCTAAAAGGGTCAGTTTCCCTCCATCTCAACCAGTTAGTTATGTTGGCTCAACAGACCTTCGGATTTACTGATACCAGAACTTGTACTTGGGGTACAGCACAGAGATTTAAAACAACAAAGAGGTAACTTTGATGAGAACTGCTGAGCACCACTAACTTCTCTCCTCGTCTTGAGGCGCTGCTTCTCCTTTCCTGCCTCTTCCTGCCATCTGGCCATTGCAACCAACCTCACGCTGACTCAGGTTCTGCCCCAACACGAGCACCCCATACACCTCAATGGCATTTCCCTGTCGCTGGACTTCCCGGGACCAGTGCAGTCTGGAAATAGGAAAACAGATGCATCTTTGGGCTCCGCGGGATCTCCAGTCAGTCTTTCCAGTGGACAGCGACACACTCTGGTCCTCAAGATTCTCGTTGTCTCAGGATTTTCGGTGCTGGACTCCGACTGTACCGCGCCAAGTCCCCGGTACCGGCTGCCCTGGGCACAAAGGCAGCGGAGCCGAGGGGAGAGCTTGGAAGGCACAGCTGTCCTGCTACGCCCCTGCCCGGCGCCGGGTGCAATTCGTCTCTGCAGTTGGAGATTCTCCCAGGACTCGGGCCAGCGCCAATCAGGTCGCACCTGCCCTCCCCCAACCCCCCAGCCTCTGCACCTGGAGGAGCGATGAGGTCCTGGGCTCGGTGCAGGGCGAGCACTCGGAGCGCCGGCGAGGGCAGAGATGCCTCACGTGGGCCTCCCCAGCCGCGGGCGCCCGTGAGGACGTGCGCAGACCCCGTGGGAGCCGAGCGCGGGAGCGGCGGTCGGCCGTAGCGGGGCGAGCCCTCCAGCGCGCAGGAGACGGGGCGGGGCGCCGGGGCCGAGCTCCCCGCGGGCGCCGGGCTCCGCACGCGGAAGTGCCTGGCCGAGGAGCGCTTTCGAGGGCGCCTCGACATCCAGGTAAGTGCGCTCCGAGGCCGCCTCCCTCTGCGGAGGCCGTGCCCGTGAGGCCGCCCGATCGCGTGAGCCCGGTGGGCGCTCGGCCCTCCCTCCCCTCTCCCGGCCGCTGGCAAGAGGGGCGCGCCCGGGCGGGGGGCGTCCCCGGCCTCTGGACGGTGGTGGATGGTGGCGCCCCCTCTTCGGAGCCGGATTCGCTGGGTCCCTGTCCCCGGGCCGCACCGAAGCCGTTTGTCCCCACACTGACCCCACCCCCACCAGATGGCCCAGGGAGCGTTGCTGCGCCCTGGCGCCCGCGACCACCGTGGACGCTCCGCGGGATCTCCTGGGCGCGGGCACTGGGGCTGGGACCTGGGGAGTGGGTCGGGAGCCGTCGGTCTGTGGGTCGGGGTTGGTGCGCGACTCCACGCAGCCCTGCGACCCGGGCTCGGCTTGCTGGTGATTTTTCCTGAAGTTTGACAAAATAACGAGGGCCGGGCTGCTTCCGCGGCCCAAGGGAGGCCGCCAAGCGGCACGGCGTGGTGGGGACAGGCTTCTCTGCCGGCGAATCGGGGTCCTGGACAGCCGGGCACCGACCCCGCTCCTGAGGGGAAGAGAAACACGACTCTCCCTCGGGGTACTGTCAACTTGCTCTGGAGCCCCGGAGCCGGCCTCCTGCACCCCACCCGGGAGCGCAGGGCGCGCCCAAGTAGAGAAACCGGGGACCAGCAGAAAGCAGTGGCGAGATAAGGGCTGCATTGTGGGGTTCGGGTCCCTGACACTGGGCCAGCGTGGGGCGGCACTCCAAAAGACCTTCTGGAAGGGTGACTTCGTGTCTCTGGGACTCAGAAGGCAGCAAGGACGGGCAGGGGCAAGATCTGTTCCCGTCGGCCAACGCCCTCGGGCTGTACACGCCACCCGTGTTTTTCTGACACACCATTGGGTTCCTTTTTGCTGCATGAAAATTGTAGAGCCCTGGAAGCCGGAGCTTCCTAGCAAGTTTGATGTGGCCGAGGTGTGGATGTACAACGGCTAGCTGAGGCCCCGGGTCAGTTGAGGTACCTTCTCGGGTCTTTTCCAGTCTGCAAGGTTATTGACCCTGGCTCAGCCCACCGTCGGTCCAGCTGGGGAATGCGGGTTGGGGTGGATAGTTCTCAAGAGCCCCCTAGGGGGCTGATTCTAGGGAGACTGCTGTGTAACTGTCAGGGATTGATGTCTGTGCAGCGGGAACCTGTGCCCTGTTCAGTCTCAGCGTCTGAGCCAGACCTGTTTTATACTGTGCCACAGACAGTGATGGGGGACTTCAGGTCTCAGTGTTCACTTTGCCTGAGGTTCAGTGGGGCTTCCTTTTTGTACTAATGAAGAACTCAGAGACAACAGACATCCCCATCCCACCTTCTTTCTTCAAACTCGCAGAGGTGCACTAAGGGGAAGAAAGCACAAAGGTTCATTCTTGGAAAACAGGTGCAGTTTCTCAGCCTTCTCTCCAGAGGTTCAGCTCCGGTGCAGGACAGGATCTAAACCACCATATCCAGACGGGGTCAGGTTGGCATGTGGAGAGAAACTAAATAGGACTATGATGGTTCATCTGTGACATCAGGCAAATCAGCAACGGCCTCCTCCTCACGGTTTCCCACTTACTCAAGGAGCATGGCTATAATTTCCACCATCCTGGGGGGTGAAATGAGGCAGGGCCATGCCTAGATGGGAAAGCCTCTGGAGTCCTCCAAGATGTGGGAGGGTCACATGTGTGGATAGAAACCCTCCTTGTGGGCATCCCTGGCATTCTTGCCCAAACTGGTCATCTGCCTTCAGTGACCCCACCAGAAATGGAGTTGTGGAGGGGCAAAGCAACATGGACTGTGTGCTGCTGAGAGAAGGCCCTCATGCTTTGCCCAAGGATCTGTTTTATCTCTGGCTTGTCCATCAGTAATTGGAAGTGAGCACTGTCTCAGTCTGTGTACAAACATCATCTGGCAACCCGAGAGCCTGGCCCAGGAACAGCCAGCGCCTCACCCAGAGGCCCCAGAGGGATTTTAGTGAACTGTTTTAAACCTTGGAAGAAGGCTCAGGTGGATCAGAGGAAGAGCTGGGAATCCTCGGAATGGCCACTTAAGAAAAGAGCCATTTGGTCATGACTGGGCAATTTCAGGTTCTGTCATTTGTGAAAAGTGCCCCGAGGTTTGAATCTGACCTGGTAATTGTTAACACCAATGAAAGCTGCCATCATCTATTAAGTATCATTGTTAAGTACCTTATGTGTGCCAGATGTAAGGCTTTGCCAAATTGGTATTATCCCCATTTTTTTTGTGTGTGAAAACACTGAGTTTGGGGGAGGCCAAATAATTTGTCAAGTTCATAAAGCCCCAATCTCTCTGGTTTCAGTGTTCCTGTTCCTTCTATGGGGCCATACTCCTCCCATTAAAAACAGACACATATAGTAGCTGAAAATTCAGAACCATCATGAGTAAAGACTGTCATTTGTAGACCCAAGAGATATTTGTCACCCCAATAGACTTAAGGGAAAATGTTGGCCTGGGAAAACGGGATGCTCTTCCTTTGCTTTGATATGTAAAGAACAAACTACAATAACATTCATGCTTACCTTTCAATTATCAAACAATGAAAAGATTGCTGAACTTTTGATGGGTTTTAGAAAAACAGGCACTTTCTTATGGTGTAACTTGTTTGGAGGGCATTTGGGAAACACCTGTCCAGGTTAGAAATGCCTATGCCATATGATCCAGTGATTCCATTTTAAAAAAAAAATATTTATTTTTTAGTTATAGGTGGACACAATATCTTCATTTTAATTTTATGTGGTGCTGAGGATTGAACCCAGTGCCTCACACATGGTAGCCAAGCACTCTACCTCTGAGCCACAGCCACAGCCCCATGATTCCATTTTTAGAAATTTAACTTGCTGTTATACCTGCAGATGGGCATGAGGATACACTGCCCATTGTAGCATTGTCTGAGCCATGAAAGAACAATCTATGTGCTCATCATAGAGGAAGTTGTTAAATATGTCATGGTACTTCTAAATAGTCAAATACTACCTTATTTATCCATAGGAAAAAGAACTGGGAAGTTTACTATATAACCGATGGGGAACATTTTCCAGACGGATGGCTAGGGGGAAAAATCAGATGTATAGAATGTTCATACTATGTTACTTTTCATGTTAGGAAGGAGGAGGATAACTTTAGACACAAAACCAAATAATATCCATTGCCTTCAGGGAGGGTGAACCTGTAAACCCTTTTGTACCTTCTAAACTTTGAACCCTGTGAATATACTACCGTTTAAAAATCCTCTTTCTCTGCTGTGGGAAGCCATTCTCGCACGCATGCTGGTCACGCGGCTGACTCTGCCCTGCACCTGACACATTCCCTTCAACACTTCTCCAGCTGAACCATGTGGGGTATCACCCTGTACTTCCTTCATGTTGCCTGAGAGGTTCCCTTGGGATTATAAGCAAAAGGATTTTGAGACCACACAGGGACCATAAGATTGGAGTCTTCCAGAGTTCCTTTGAAACCTGCAGACTTGTTCATGGAAGACTGAGAGAAGAGGTGTCTTTGGATGGCAGGCTCTCTGAGCAGGGTAGACAGGAGGTGCTCATCTAGCCTAGAAAAGTGTGAATAAGTAGAAACTATTTCATTGCCCTACTGTTCCCCTATTCAGGGAAAGGTGTCAATAGCTGGATAGGATCGTGAGCAAGAGGATTACGTGACTGGACATCACTAGGGCAGAAGATATGGAGGAGGTCTAGTTCTGCTGTTGCATTTGGCTCTCAAAAAACAGAGGAAGAAACAGGGGAAAGAAAAGATTTGAAAATTATGCTGGAGTCTAGGGTTGTATTGTCCCTGAAGAGTAAGAAAATTCATCAATCAGTGTGTCCCTAAATTCCCCTTTGGTTACTCCCATTAGTACAGATGCCCAGATTAGTTCCCCTGTCTCCGAGAGTTTCCTTTCGCTCGTTACCCAGTCTGGAAGCCATGAATGCAGGATGGCCGGTGGGTAATAGATGCAGCCTTTCCCTTCAGGTGGGGCAGGTTTCTAAATAACAGAAGCAGTGGAAGAAAGACTCTTCCAGCCACAAGCTGGGTCCTCAAGCATCCTTTGGTGGAAAACCTATATAGAGAACTTTCCACGTTCCAGTCACTCTGCTGAGCACTCTTCCTCTCCTGTGTTGTGTAAACTCTTGGATGTGTGAGAGCCCCAGCTCTGCACCACTGACTTCCTGTTCTCTGCACCTTAACCTGCAAGAACCATACAGTAAGTAGCATCCCGTGGGTGTGCATAGAGCCCATTTGGGTTACAACAGCGTGTGGCTGCACCTTACATGCTTTGAAAGATGAAGTGGAGTCTGCAGTGTATGCAGGTTTGTACAAGCACAGTTCAGGGACAAAGCAGTCATCGTCCTTGGTTTAGATTTCTCTTCTATCCCTGTGTGTGCATCAGGGCTGGAGCTCAGTTTGAGTGTGTGATTTTCCCTGGGGAATGGGGGAGGGGGAGAGATTGTCATTGCTTTGGTCCAGATACTAGTCCTGAGGAAGGCTGTGAAGGTGGCTTGTGAAGCCCTGCGCCTGCACCCAAGAGAAAGGTCAGCACAGGTCCCCAGAGCTCTGGGCCTGGGCTGGGAGTCTGTCTGCTTTTTGGAAAGAACAGCCTGAGAGCTGAGAGCCCCACTCTGCACACCGTCTCCTCCCACGCAGCCAGCTCGCAGCTCCCGGGCCAGGACTCACCTCTGACTCCCATTCCGCCTCAGAGAGAAACAGCTTGAAATTTCCCCCAAATAATTTCTAGAGCACACGAAGCAACTGCTTTTATTATGTGCTACTGTTGCCCTGTGGGGGTGGGTGGGGGAGCTGATCTGGATTCTCAGCCAAGACTGCCATAACCCAGCCAGGAGGGGAAGCCAGACAGCCCACTACTGAGAAAGAAGAAAAGACAGAAGGGGTGAGAGGAAAAGGGCAAAGCGGAGATGGGGGGCGGAGAAGAGCGAAGGAGGGAAGAGA